CCATCACTAAGGGAGACATGGAGGAGATGGGGCTGAAAGCAAAGCAGCCTAATGACCTGCCCTGGAATTGATTTTTAAAATACCTCACTGATACCAAGCTATTATTTGTCATTTCTGTAATTTTTATCCACCAAAGTACTATGAAAACATTCTGATTGTATTTTCTGATCATTCATTTGAGCTGTAGATTAAAAGGACTGTTCATTTTCATCTTTTGTCTCACGTCAACCAGTCCAGATCCATGAATTCCAACGGACGATTCAGAATCTTCATCTCCCCACCTTTCTTCACATAACATGGCCCTCTAATTCAATGTTCTCAGTGCGCAGTAGCAGATAGATGCAGTTTATTTCCTTCACTTGGCTTTGGTTTTTATTGTGCTGACTGCAGGACTCATAATGAGAGTTCACACAAAACTCTGCTCTCCCAAAGCACTGTACTGATAAGAAACGGTGGTTCTCAAACAGGTAACTCTATGGATGGCTGAGTCAGTTTTGAGTCAGGGTAGCACATAAGATAATAAACTTTATTTCTGTTACTGCAAGTCCAGGGGTAAATGTTTGCCATTGAATGCAAGTGGAGATTTACATTTAGAGAAGGATGGTGGGAAGTGTGTATTGTCAGCAGTAATCTTCCAGCTAGCATGACCTAAAAGGCCACTAAGCAGAGAGAAAGCATTAAGAGAGAAGATACTTGTGCAAAGGGTAGAGGAATGGCTGCAAGGTCTTATATAAAACATGCATTTTCTAAATAGAATGAGAAACAGCTTTGCTCAGATGTGATAAGTTCCCTTCTGGATTCTGGAAATACTCATTTTTAGGTGTTCTACAGAGGAAAAGATCAAATACATCATCTAAAACCATTAATTCCATTTGACAATCGAATCTTCCTTTTGAGTACTGGAAAAAGCATTTTATTATATTGTGTTAATACTTTATGCCACTTTCCTCATGGTTTTGAGAGGATCACCTTTTGAAGTTTGACAGCAGAACTTGATAATGATGGGACATTGATGTGGCATCTAACAGCCAGGCAAGGGAACAAAGCAGCTTGTCCCAGTTTTCCACAACAACAACAAAAACCTTTCAAATAGTCATTATTCACATAGAAATGTATTTGAACAAAGGTCTTGAAATACAAAATTGCTCTTCCATGTTTGAGGCTGACTGGTAGGCTGAGTTTTACAAACCATTGTGTCATAGAAGTCAAGGCCATGGCACAGGCTGTGCCCACACGCTGACTGCCATGTGTCCTGCCATGCTTATGTGAGAGCTCTCTCAGATGAGAGCTGGTCAGCTCTTCATTTATGGAGAATGGAGGTATGTGCTAAAGAGTACGCTTTTCTTCTTCCAAAATATCACCAGTACCCAAAATTCTTCTGCAGGAAGGAAACCTTTCGTTCTTTAGAAGCGGTCCCAGGGCCGTGGTGCTAAATGACTTGGAACCAGAGACCCCAGGTCTGCGCTGTCTACGTGGTTTCCCATTTTCCCCACCTCCCTGGGCACATGGTGAGAGACTGTGCATCCCCCCTTCCTCACTTCACTAGGGCACTGCTTTTTTGTAGATTTCTTCCCAGACCAGGCTTTTATTCCAAGAGAAAAAGGGAAAGATGGCTGACCATGAGCTAAAACATTTCCACAGGTCTTTATTTATAATGTTTTGATCCAGCTGTCTCATTTTCCTTTCTCAAAAATCACCTTCTGAGGACAGTGATTCTGAGGGGACAAAAAAGCATCAAAATCCCCCTGTGGCTTTAGGTGTCACCAGAAATGAGAGTCTGCTGGCGCTGCCCCGAGACAGGTCAAGGCTATGCATTTAAGATGAAGTCTCTTTCTTCTTTTCCTCAAACCTTATCTGTTTGGGAGCAACAGCCCAAGAAGCATCATCTTGAAACACACTCATTTGATTTCATTTCCGCAGTGCCACCTCCAGCCTCATTCCACACAGTCACAAGGCCTAAACACACACAGCCTGGGTCATCCTGAGCCTTATACGGCTACTATTAAATCAAACCCAAGAGAAAGAAGATATTCCCATTTTGGAAACCTCAATAAGGAAATGAGAATTAACATCCAAATTAAAACCCTTTCTAACAGTGCACACACTCTGTTGTTTCAGAGCAGATGAAATAGTGAAATGAAATCTGTGTTGCTGTGATTTTAAATTAAGAAGTACCCTGGAAATGATAGTAAATCAATAAATATTTGGGGGGAATATTTAAGGAAAATGATACTTAGTTGTGAAATGTCAAATAAGGGCACAAGCTTTCATTTCCTGGTTTTTTTTTTTCCTATTTTTCCAAGGCCACTTAAAAGATCAGATGCTTTACCCAAACCTTCTGAGCCCCATTTCCTATAAACCACCCTGTCGACAGTTGAGGCTCATGGTGGAGTTTTGGCTGGAAGGAGGCAATCTTCAGGCAGTTAAAACCTACTCTGGGAATATTTACCCTATAAAATGATATTAACAAGAGGTCTGGTAGCCAGATGTGAGCTTTAACCCTGAATTGCTGATACCAGAGCAACATTGCCCATGCCTCCAGCCCCACCCGTAGAAAATGGTACCAATTTGGGTAGCAGAGAAGGTGGCTTTAGAAAAATCGGCCAACTTCAGCTGAATCTTTGACTATACCTGTCTAAACTGTAGGACTAAGACAGACTTTGAAAGTCCCTTTAGACTTTCTAGAAGGAACTATGTAACTACTGCCACTTTACTTGGGATGGCCTTTGATTCTTCTCTAAGTATGATTACGGAAAATGTTATCACCTCTTGACTCAAGACCTCCTGGGGAAGTAGGAAGGTAAGCATCACTGTTGTGCAAATGAGAAACATGAACGTTCAGGACCAAACTGGGGACTTGCCCGAAGCAAGTGGCAGATAGAAACTAATCACCCAAAGCATAATTTTTCTCTTCCTACCATAGTTGAGAGAACACAGTTCAGGCATGGATTCTAGTCACTTTTTCGTCACTGTCTAGCTGTGTACCCTGAGTAAATCACGATGTCTTTGCATGTCAGTTTTCTCTTCTGCAAAATGGGAATGATTCCTGCTCTACCTGCCCTGCAAAGTAGTCATAAGAAACACACAAGATGCATAGTCTTTACCTTATCCGCCCATGCTAGAAAAGAAATGATGTTTATATTTGATCCTTCCTACTGAAATGTTAGGGAAATTGAAACCAGATGGTATAAGGGGTGAGGGTGGGGAGAAGCCAAAAGCCCTTGCTTGCCTTCTAATCAGAGATGTAAACTTTTGTCAAATCAACTAGCTTCTTTATTTCTCTGTTTCCTCTGCTACACTTAGGAGGTTGTACTGGAACATTTTAAATAGTTTTTCCCATCCAATCTGTGAGGTTTCTATCCTAGTTTTCTTTTCTATGCTGCCTCTGCGACTCTTTGCTATATTCCCCAAAGATGAACAGCTGGAACATTTATGTGCTGTAAAAAGGCTAGGTATTGCCAAATCAGTGTAACACATTTGCAGTCCCACTGCGATTCTTCCCTTTTTTTTTTTCTTCTCAAGGATGGTTAAGAACCTGTAGCAGCCTAATGGAATTAAAATCACCAGGCAATGCAAAATGAGGAGTAGGAGTCAAATTATTTTAAGAACTACTAAGACACCATCCCTAGCCTACTCAAGAACTCACTAGGACTCATTAGACTGCGTGTCACCCAACAGGGACAGCCCTCTTTGAAGTGTACCCACTTTGACAAGGATCATTAGTGCTGTTCAGCTCCAGCCACAGTGGCAAATGTCAACCCCTACAGGAGTTAGTGCTTAATTAGAGTTGAAGAACAGAAAGAAAAGGCAAGTTCTCCAGGTAAAATGCAGGGCAGAGTTTAGAAAGAGAAAGCTAGAGGCAGAGTGAATGTTTTCCTGTTAGTATTGCACCACAATGGAGGCAAGATGTAGAAATGTACAACTAGAGCTATACAGAGCAAGGAAGGGCATCTTTTCTGGACTAGAAGAGACGTATCTATCAGACAGGAGAGATCTTCTTGTCTCGCAGCCTGAACACAGCGAAGTGCTTTTCTTTGCACCTAAGAAGAAATGGTTCCCCCTCCACACCTCTTAAAACACAATACCTTACACTCACCCATCCACCATCCCCCTTTGTCCCCCACCGCACACTAAACTCATTTTTTCTCCAACACTTAACAGTTCAGCATACTTCCATGTCTGTTACATTGGTCCACGCATAACACCATGAGAAGATGAAGCAGGTGTGGACCATTTTACAGGTAAGAAAAGTCATGCTCAGAAAACATAAGTAATTTGCCCAGTTTCCCAAAGATAATGGAGAACTCAGGACTCAAACCCAAGTCTCTTTAACAGCAGACCTGATACTCTCTCTACCATTCACAGAGAATCCAACCTTTGTTCTTCTTCTTAACAACCCTAAAGCTTTTAAAGTAAATGCCTAAAGTATGTAAAACGAAGTACCTAGGTACCTTTAAGAAAAAGAGTTACATAGAAATGGCACCTGATTTCAAGGAGAGAGAATTTTTATAAACAAATCAGCATCTTATAAACATTCAGTAAAATGCTAACTCACATGTGCAGTGATTTTCCAAAGTGTGCTGGAGGGATTTACTGGTCAGGAATTATGCTAATGAGCTGGAGAATGTATAGAATTAATTTTCTGGGGGAGGGAGGTTTGGAGCTAACTTTTGGTGTTCTCATCTCAGAGTATATACTTGGAGCATCTATTGAAATCGCAGCAGATGGAGCACATCATAAATGTATTTTTTCTTTTATCTTCAGTTCCTTGGAGAAACATGGTACCTAGGGTACTGTAGAACAGAAAATAAAAGTTCATTTTTATACTACCATTTGTAATATAAAGATATAAACATGACTGATTCCTAGGGGAGTTATTTCATCTTGTTTCCTCCCTGGTGAGTTTTCTAATTAATCCCTACTGAAATAAAAACCAAGAATGAAATTCAAATGTGATATTTTCTGAAGAATGCACTGAGTTGCTTTTTTTGTTTTTTCAGTCTCCATGCACACCTGATCCCCTGCTGCCTTTGAGAAACAAGAAGTTTTGTTGTGCTGATTTAACAGCCTGTGATTTCTGCAAACACGACCGTGAAAAAAATGCCAATCTGTCCTGTGTAATCCCTGTGTGAAGTTCTGACTTTAATCTAACAGTTCATTCCTTCACCCTCCATAAAGATGTCTGAACCTGACACTTCCTCGGGGTTTTCAGGAAGTGTGGAGAATGGAACTTTTCTTGAGCTGTTTCCCACATCCCTGTCCACATCAGTGGACCCATCCTCAGGCCACCTGTCAAACGTCTACATCTATGTGTCCATATTCCTCAGCCTTTTAGCATTTCTGCTTCTGCTTTTAATCATTGCCCTCCAGAGGCTCAAAAATATCATCTCCTCCAGTTCCTCCTACCCAGAGTATCCAAGCGACGCTGGAAGTTCTTTCACCAATTTGGAAGTCTGCAGCATTTCCTCTCAGAGGTCCACTTTTTCAAACCTTTCATCCTGAGAAAAATGGAAGAGTCCTTAAGTGTGGCAGCAGCTTTGGCGTCCCCTCATGGGAGTATCGCGTGAAGCGTTGCCTGATGAAAGAAATGACCCTTTTGGTGTAGACCTGCTTCTTCTTCTCCTTTATCTCTGATTTCTTTTCTATTCATGATGCTTTCATTTGGAGATGGAGACGCTGATGCTGGTGGAAATGTGTGCAAAACCGAAGGTGCAGAGTTTCACACAAACAGCTCGCTGAATCTGGAGTGGTCTTCTTTGGGTAGGTCAGTTCATTCCACTTTGTTGGGCGCCGTGGAGTCATCCGAGGTGGCCTCTCCGAGGATGCTGGACATGGATTCTTGCATTTCATTTCTTTTACAAAACCATGACATCGACTGAGCCTGCAGAAACTGGAAAATCAAGTCTGACCTGTGTAGAAGATACTTTCCATACTTAAAAGATAAAGTGGAGACACCAACTTTAAAAAGGAAGAGAGTCAGTTTAGATTTAATGTATAGCATTTGTAAAACTGAGAGTAAATATATGAGAAACAGTTTCTTTAACTTCCCTTTACCAAGTGAAAATCACACTCACTGATAAACGTTAGCCATTTGGAAAAGTTTTGGAAGAGTTTACCTTTTAATAGCAAGACACACACGTATTATGATGGAGTTTGTCATGTATTTCTGCCTCCTGTAATTTTATTTTGTTTTTCTGCTTATGTTTTCATCATAATGCCCCAAAGTTGTGGAATTCTTTGTGATTAATTACTGTTACTAGTACTAAGAGGAGCACCAGAAGAGATGCCAAGAAGTTTTTATATGAATAATTTCTATCAGTGAGAATTAAGCATATGGAAAATATTCATTTAGTTGTATTTTATACAGTAATAACTTAGCTGTCATGTAAGTTCCTTGATTCGGTTTCACAGTCTTTATAATTTTAGTGCAGAATCATATTAGGCCTCCAAGATGTCTGATATTTGTTCACTCACATTAGGTTGCCAGACTTAGAGACTGAATTAGAAATATGTGTGTTGTTATATACTCCATGAATGTCTTGTCTCTGATAATTAGTTGCTGTATGTTAAAATAATACTCTACATTAGGATTTCAGGGTGTGAGTTTGTATTAAAAACTGTAGGCACTCAAGCTGTGTAGCTGCTGGCAGGGTTAGGGATCCTAGGAGCTGCTGAGCTGCAGGCAGCCAATTATGTCTGAACTTGGCTGGGGGGTGGGAGGGGCTGCCTTTGAAATTAGGCATACACGTGAGCTCTGACATTGAATGTGGGGGAACTCAAGCTGCCCCTAAAAACAAAACAAACAAACGGCAGCTCCTTAAGAGTAAGAATTTTAATTTAATTTTAAGAATAAATGGCGCACAGGGTACACACTGAATTTACTCGACCTACGGAAGGCCACTGCATCAACATGCCACCGTCTTCCCATCGCAACCGAATCATTCCTTGTTCAAAACATTTAATAATCTTAAGCAGTGAGGCTGCCACACATTCTTTGGTTGGGTTGTGCGGTTAGCACTCTCCAGTGACTAGAATGGGGGAAAGAATACACTATTTGTACAGGGTTTATCAGTCTAAAATGCTGAGAGAGTGGAGGTCTGGGAATGAAAATCAGAAGGTTTCTTCTTTTAATTCATAAGCCTCACTTAAATAAGACCACATTGAACTATTTATATATCAAAAATGTCCCCAAACATTGTAAGACCAGAACAGAGTTGCTGCCCTAAAATGTATAATTAGTGAAAAATTTGCCTCTGTTACTGTTTAAAGCATGACAGTAGGTTGGGTGTTATTATGCGGTATAAAAACTGGACTAAACTGCTATTTTAGTGCATTATTAGCATTCTCTGAGTATATATATGTATGTGTGTATACACACATACACACACACATACACACACATATACACACATACACACATACACATACACACATACACATACACACATACACACACATACACACATACACACACACATACACACACATACACACATACATACACATACACACACATACACACACATACACATACACACACACACATACACACACACACACACATACACACTCACATACCCCCAATTAAAAGTAGCATGAAAGCTACACGCAATTACAGAGGCATCTATATTATCACTTTTGCTCTTCGACTAATCCTATGCTGTTTTGGTTATAGAGAGAAAAAAGAACATGGGTGAAGTGATTTTTTTTTAAATAAAAGGACAAATTTGCCCCACAACAGAACAATCTGAGTATGCTCCGTCCTCAGAGTATCTTTTTATCCTTTCCTTGTGAAAGAGATACAAAGATATCTGACAACAAAACTACTTTAAAAATCAAATCAAATCGAATCCACGAGCACACTCCCATTCCTCTCCTGCTGCAATGGTTCTTGCTCTCAACGTTAAGTAGGGAAATTAAGAGCCACATTCAAATACGTAAAACAGGATTTGTCATTAGAAGCTTGCCAAGTAACAGATTGTACAACTTGAGATGAATTCATGTTGTTTAAGAAGTTCAGAAAGGTTGGAAGATGGGTTTATAAATAAAGAAGTGGAGTCCATTGAAAGCCTGGTTCTTTGATTTTTTTTCAGTAAGGTGATTTATAATCTCTTCTAGAGAAGAAGCTTTTCCTAGGAGTTTTAAGGACAAACCACACACACACACACACACACGTATAGAGAGACATATATTTACATATAAATATATCACTCCTTTTCTGTACGTTCTCTCGGAAGCAGGGTCAGTAATGTGTGACCCAAATGTCAGCCTCTCTCCAGCCCTGCGAGGGTCACCTCACTCTAGGACAGTGAGTCCCACATTTCTCTGATGAAAAGAATAATCTGGGTGTTTTGACAATATAGAGGATTTCATGCCACACCCCAGACCTTCAGGAGTGAAACCAGGGTGTTTCCGGACATTTTTAACAAGGACTCCAGTGGATACTGATGATCGGCGGGACACACTGTGGCCGAGGAAGGATCACATGTATTGCGCTTACGTATTTGCAGAGAACAGGGGTCTTACCTCTCAGCCACTGCCCTTGTAACTGCAGTTGCTTTGAGCTGAGCATCCGCTGCACAGCTCAAAACCCTCACTGGACCTACTTTCCTGCTCGAGTCTGAATCCAACCACCCTCCTCCTCAATGGAAAGCTGCTGCTATTGGAATAAACTTGGCGAAAGCGGGAAGTGCAAAAAGCCACATCTCTTGTGCCATCTCTGAATTGCCCACAAGATGATATGCATGGAACAGACTAGGTTAGAGAACTGGGGGTAGCTGATGGGATTTATAAGATGAGAGAAAATACTTTACACTGAGTACTAAGTAAGACTATTCCCACAGTCCAAAGGAAAACTACAACAACTAAGAAAACGTTATCTAGGAGAAGTGCCAGTTCCTTAACTTGCTCCCCTGTCTCGAAGTCTGCCTCCCACCCCTCTGGGAAAGGCTCCCACTTCAACCCAATGCCAGGTCCCACTCTCTCACTCTCTGTTAGAAAGTCCCCTGGTATACGTTCCTATCAGTCCAACACCCTGGACCTAAGACTTCAGAGACCCTTAGTTATTCAAGAGAGAACACTCCCAGGCCACATGTGGATGGGTGTGGTATGGGCGAGCTCCATGTAGCAGAGGAGTTCAGGTAGGCTCTGGATCCCCGGGACCAGCTCTCTGCAGTATGCCTCCATCAGTGAGAGGACAACTGCACTTCTCCTACTTCCCCTTACCCAGCCAGACCCAGCATGCATCTGTGTGCATGAACACACATACACATAACACTGAAACTCACAGACATACACTCTCCTTCACCCACACATACACCATCCAAGAACAAATAATAATCCCCAGTGTTCGAAGACAGGACCTTGGTTTTCAAAGTCTGCTTACTTCAGTTTCACCCTGCCTTCAACAGTGAGCTGAGCACAGTAGTTCCTTCTCACTCATCCTCCTTCAAAGCCATGCCTAAACATCTGCAGAGACCTCATCAAACCATTGCAAGTATAGCTTTTCTTTATCTTGGAGTGGGTCCACTCTGAGGTAGGGTGTTTGGACACTCTGGACACTGTAATAAGACATTATTATCAACAGGAATTCACTAAATAAATGAATACGTGTGGTGTTTGGTTTTCTGTTCCTGTGTTAGTTTACTGAGGATAATGGCCTCCAGCTCCATCCATGTCCAGGCAAAGGACATGATCTCATTCCTTTTTGCAGCTGCATAGTATTCCATGGTGTATGTGTAGCACAGTTTCTTTATCCAGTCTATCACTGATGGGCATTTGGGTTGATTCATTACCTATGTAACAAACCTGCACATCCTCCACATGCACCCCAGAACTTAAAACAAAAATTAAAATTTAAAAAATACAATAAATGAATACATCCTTTGTCACTAGATAAAACAGACAGATACAGGTCTTGCCCTCATGGAGCTTATAATCTAGTAAGGAAGGTCCAAAAACAAATAAATAAACAATATGTATAATTGCGATTGCAATTAGCACTATGAAGAGAATAAAATTGTAAAATAATAAACAATAAGGGAAATTCACCAGACATAGTGGTCAAAGAAGGCCTTCCTGATGAGATCACAGTATTTGAAGGGTGCTGGGGAGAGTCTACTCCACAAAGGGATTGAGCCTACAAAGGCCGTGTGGCAGGAAAGGGCTAGGCTTGTGAACAAAAAAGTCAGAGTGCTGGGGTGCAGAGTGTGAAGTTGGAGCGGGGGCAGGATAGGTTATGTAGGAACTGGTAGATCAGAGAAGTAACTTGGATTTTATTTGGAGTATGACAAGAATCCACTGAAGGATTTTGAACAGGTAAGTTACATAATTGAATTTTTGCTTCAGAAACATGACTGTAGATGTTTTGTAGAAAATAAACCAGTGATGGACAAAAAGTCCTATTCAGATCCACCCTGGGTGGGGTATGGGAGTGGGTGGAGAGTTGTTCTCCCAGCAACAAATATCTGTTCATCTTCTAGCCATGGAAACGGCCTGAGCTGAGAATGAGTATTGCCACACACCCTCCTCCTTCCTCCTCCCATTTCCACCACGCACTCACCCCCCTCTCTCTCCTGGTCTCTCTCTATCTCTCTGTGTCTGCCTGCCTCTCTCTCTCTCTCTTTCTCTCTCTCTCTCTCTCTCTCTCTCACACACACACACACACACACACACACACACACACACACACACACAGTTCTCAGATTCTCCCTTCCTCACCTAATGTGCCTCCATTTGGCCCTTGTTTAAAGTATTTCAATCATGTTTTAGTCCATGTAACTATTACTCCAGTATTTTTAACACGATGTGTGACTCCTGTTGCAATGAAACTCTAATACTGCAGCAAAGCTGAAGCATTTAACATTGTTGCTCCTTTTTAAATTCCATTCTCAAAACAGCTATTATTCCTGATGCACTGTACGGCTCATTCCTACGATTCCAGGCTCTCGTGGAGAGTTGGCATTGTGGGGTGGTTTCTCCTTGGTTATCTATCTGCCCTGCTGAGCGAACACTACATGCCATAGGATGCGGAGTTTGGATTCAGACCGTCCTACATGTTAACTCTATAACCTTAAGCAACCTCTGTGAGACCCCAGATCTCGGTAACTGGAAGAGAATAATAACCTCCTTACAACGTTGTGAGAATTAAGAAGCTGTATGTGTTAAGCATGGAGGGTGTCCAGTTTCCTGGAGTCTTGAACAAAGAATTGGACAAAATGCTCAAACAAAGCAAGGAAGAAATGAAGGGTTTTATTGAAAAGGAAAGTACCTTCCGTCATGTGGGAGCAGGCCTGAGCATAAGGGCTGCAAGACCCCATTACTCAGAATTTGGGGGAGTTTAAATACCGTCTAAAGGACTCCATTGTTTACTTGGGGTACACCCTATATAAAGGAAGAGGATGACGTTACAAAGTCATTTACTTGGCCTGTGCCCTATGGAGGATATTTCCTGTCATAGCTGAAGTGTGAATCAGTCTCAGGTTTCCTGCCTCCAGACCCTATTTTCCTGCCCCATCTCCTCCCCGAGAGATGTGATCCCCACACCTCTTTATGGGAGGCAGAGAGACCGATGGTCTTTTTTTGGTAACTGCTTCATGCTGGCTTGGGTCATAGTCCCCACCTACTGGGGAATCACAGAACTCTCCCTGCTCTATCTAGTGGAGGTTAGGTAGCTTCTTGATGTCTAAGGGTGGTGCCTTCACCTGGAACTGGCTGAAACCTTTGTTGCATCATCTCCTGAAGCTTGATGGTCTCTACGTGAGAGGAAATGATTTTGGTTAAAAGATTTAATGGGAACTTCAGGGGCTGAATACCTATGCTCTCAGAAATGTCTGTTACAGAGATCTGCAGAAGAAAAGAAGAGAAAACCTGGTCTTTTCTAGAATCCGTGCATTTCCTTAAAGTCTTAGCACGAATGACTCCGTTTTGGTTTGGATTGGTCTTTTGGGGTCTAGTGCATGAGCTTAGCCCAAAACAATGACTTCCAAGAATTTTGTTTTTAAATTTCCCCTTTTTGGTCAGGTTCTCACTTAGTTGAGAGTGTGACCAAAACTTATGGCCCTAGTGCCACTCTCAGTTACCATCATTTTGGGTTGTACGTTGTGGTGTCCTCATGGTTGCACATTTCTTTCAGCTCTTGCCATTCCAGTTGAAGGGAGACCGTATGACATTCTAGAGATGGCTGCATGCAAACATTTAAAACTTCCGAGAGAACACAATGTACCAGGGAGACTATTATTATGATTATTGGAAAGAAAATGCCAAGTTCAGACTATGCTCCTTTTCCAGGGTCCCTAGAAACCAAACCACCTAAAATTAAATAGATTAAAGAATGAGCTAGATGAAGAGTCTACTCGCTTGACTAAGTGGCCTTTTCATTAATCCCCTACAACTGAATTACTGTAATCTGCATTTGACATGTTTCTCTGTAGGTCACAAGTGTCAGCAGCCACACGGGTACTTCTTTGTTTAGCCAGTTCTATTATTTAGCATAACTTTCACAAGAATTTCAAATCTGTTGTGAATGTGCTATACGGCCTATCATGAGGGATACATTTTTAATCATTGCTTCTTCTACTTTAAACCATGAAAAAAGAACCCAACAAATGATGCCCTTCTGGAGGAGTGAAGACCTACTGGCAATGTTCTCTTTAACTCATGATGTGGGTTAAGAGGAGTGAACCAATGTTTTGCTTTTGACTGATTATGAGGCAACCTATGTACCAGTGAAGTTTCTTACCTACGTCGGGCCTTCATCTTCTATCTATCAAAGTAGAAGGTCATCCATGTAAAAGGCTGGCTGCAAACTCCTTCACAAATAAAAGTCTACCCCATAAGTGCAAACAACAGATCCCTCTTCCATTTCTGTTGTTCGAAGAGGGACAAGCAAGAAAAAATATTCAAAGGTAAGAGTTTCATGACAGCAGAAGTCTTCATCTGTGAACTTGGGAAAAACTGTTTACTTCCAGGATGCCATCCTCTTGGGAGAAATTTCTCTGGTTAGCTTTACCTCAAGGATTCCAATGGGTGCACAGTCCCAAAAGTGTGGAGGACCCTTCTCAGTTGTGA